AAGAACTTACGGTTCTGACTGTCATCAGGCTGGAGCTCTGCAAGATCAGCCTCTTTCTTCTGCAACTCATCATGAACTTCATTCAGCTTTTCCCTATGAATGAAAGGGTGGACTAAGGATTAAGCTCACAAATAATTCTATGCAGTTTTAAGAGCTGAAAGCTGAAACTTGATGGCAGAAGTGCTTAAATTACTATTTTAAGCTCTGGTAATTCTTCTGAATTTAAGTAGAAACATTACTATGTGTTTTTGTAGAACCACTGAAGTTGTGACTCCTGAATTGAGTCTCATTTACCTAAAACTAGGAAAAAATGAACAATTAAACCCCTTCAGCAGGGGTTACTTAGCAGGAAGGAAGCATTCCAGAAGAATGGAATATATTTTGAGCCCAATAACAGTGATGGTTTTAGCAGTCTGTTGTAGAATCAGAACACTTTAAAATGCTGGTGGTGGTTATGACAGTTAAGTGGTACTGGTATTACCAGATCATCATGATCAGAGTAGACAAAACCAGAACCCCAACACTTTGCTCACTTTATGCAGAATTCTCAAACCAGTGGCTTAGAGAAACAAGACAGCCCTACAAAGATTTAAGCAGTTTCTGTGCTACATTTAGCATAAATAAGCTGTTGTTGATGCATGTGCCTTACTTACATGTGTGCTGCCAACTTCTGCTTCAGGTTGCTGGACTATGAAAGGAGAGAGTTAAAATTCAGTTATATTTCAGTATTTCATTCCATGCAACATTAAAGTGCCTTAACAAATCAGCCAAGGATATTTAGCACAGCTAAGTCAAAGCAAATAAATACTAAGGAAACTGCATTTCTGTAACTGCTTTCATATTTTTTTGCATTGCACAGAAATCAATTCCAGCATCCTTTTCTTTAAAGCTCTCCCTCTCATTATACCACTATCGACTGATAAAACTAAATGTAGAAGAGTTACAGTTCCTTAATGAAGGTGAAGGAAAGGAATCACACAAAATATGAGATTTTCAATTTAAATACAGTTGGTGTGGGCTGTTTTTCAGACACACTGAAAAATAAGCTGCACATCTAAACAAAGGACTTGATGTTACACTGAAGGACTTAAAAAAAACCAAACCAAAACAAAAACAAACAACAAAAAACAACAACCAAAAAACAAAACACCAAAAAAAACACACAACACAACAACAAAACAAAGAAAGAAAGAAAACAAAACAAAACAGGTATGTTGTGTTCAAGGCCAAAAAGCCTGAACTTCTACTTACTCCTTCAGTCTTGGATCCCTGCTCCTGCAAAGTCTTTTGCAGATCTTCAATCTGCTGCTGTAATCCCCCAATACGCTCTTCATTCAGCCTTTCAGGAAGAAAAGACCGTTACTGGTTATCTAAATAAATCATAGACAAATTTTTCTGTTTCATGTCTGGATAGTAGTTTTTCAGAGGGCCTACCCAGCAGGACTTAAGCCACAAAGAAACTGATTTTTAGTTTGACTTGAACTTCTCCTGAAACGACCACATGGAGCTTTAATGAACATTTTATAGTGAAATACCTAGAATAATTGTAAGTTTTGAGAGACCTTAATTACCAAGAATTCTCATATTCTAATAAACTGCTTTCAGCATTAACTGTAGAGAAATTTAGACCTTATCCCATGGTCTAACAGTTTGAAGTTCTAGAAACAGAGTTTATATCCATTCTTGGTCTACTTCCAAGAATCATTCAGAACTAAGAAAAATGTCCTAAAAGCAATATCTCATTTATGGCTACAGTGGTGAAAGAAAAGGTACCTGGCTTCCTACGTGGCGCTACACTACAGATACAGGCCACAAGACCACTCTGAAATACCAGAAATCCCTTTTTACTGTTACTGTGTTTAAAGATGTAGTTTCACCTTTTCTCAGTTTCCAGTTCGTTCACTGTCCGGTGCTTCTGCTCCAGCTGTTCCTGAAGCTCTGCAATACGCTCATTTTCTGACCCTTCCTGTTTCAACAGGAGCATCTTATTTTCATGCTGCAGCCGAATAAACATTTCTCTGAATAAAAAACAAAACAAAAAAAAACCAAAAAAAAAAAAAAAAAAAAAAAAAAAAAAAAAAAAAAAAAAAAAAAAAAAAAAAAAAAAAAAAAAAAAAAAAAAAAAAAAAAAAAAAAAAAAAAAAAAAAAAAAACAACACCAAAACAAAAACAAACCAAAACCCAAAGAAAAAAGGCACTGTTAATTCAGAAGGTGAAGAGGAAGAAGTAATATTCCTGTTCACTCTCCCAACCCTAAAGTGTGTAAATCAAGCTCTGCTTGATGATATAATTGGAGTAACAATGCAATTTTTTATTAAAAGTTAATTTAAAATATTGTGACGTTTGCAAATTGTCAGAGATAAGAGCAAAGTTTTAAACTGTCACTCCAAACCCAGTTTTACATTCAGCAATCTGATATGCTTTTAAGAAAGAAATAAATTGTAGTATAGGAAAATAATAATTAACAGCTACATGGGGGTCTGAATAAGCACCATGGAGGCAAAGCAGGAACTGGGGTACAGAGTCATGAACCTTCCCAAAGGCAGCATCAAGCCCCACCCATGAACATTCCAAAACAACCTCTACCTTTTTGTCTCACCTGTATTCCACTGGCAGAATTTCAGCAGCAAGATTCTCATGGCTTTTAACACGAGACCCACCTGAAATCACATGGGAAGTTTAATTTAATACACTCAAAGAAATCTCTAATACAAATAAAAACGCTTCTGAAGGTACAGCAATACCTGTTTGACTCAGGTGATCCTGCTGCATCTGTGAACACCGGAGCTCCTCATTTGTCTCTTTTAATGCATCACACTGCACTATCAGTCTCTAACAAGACAGATTTGAGGTGGAATTAGGTCAAACTGCTCCATTTTAAGAGCAAGTAACAATAATCAGGAATAATACTGACACATGCATATTTTAGGTTGGACTTGATGACCTTGGAGGTCTTTTCCAACCTGGATGCTTCTATGATTCTTTATTATATGTGTATACACACACAATTTTTATGAAGACACTAACTCCAAGAAGATTTTCCTCCAGCAGAGCATTTGAGAGAGATATTAGGTGCTCAAATAAACTCCCTTAGAGAGACTTACCTCTTTTTCTTTGATTAAAGCTTCATGTTTTTCTTCAAGTCTCTTCATTTCAAACGCCAGCTTATCAGCTCTTTTGGATTCTTCAGACAGTTTATTATGAAGCTCTTGGACCTTTTCATAAAAACATTGTATGAATATTGCAAGATGCTACTTCTAAAAGCTATATTAAAACAGTCACTCCTGTCCAGTTCAGCCAAAATAAAACAGCTGGTCCCTCAAGCTTAGGGGAGGGAAGATGGGACAGAAGCCTATGTGCTTTGGGTTTGGTTTTTTTTTTGTTGGTTGGTTTGGAGTTTCTTTTTATATTTAACTCTTTTAATTACTACTGAAATTAAAACAAAACTACAGTTTAAAATACATTTCCATGAAGAAATATAAGAATATAGTCATGTAGTGACAGGACAAGGGGGAATGGGTTCAGATTGTAAAGAGAGAAAATTTAGGTTAGATATATGGAAGAAATTCTTCCCTATCAGGGTGGTGAGGCCCTGGCACAGGTTGCCCAGAGAAGCTGTGGCTGCCCCATCTCTGGATGTGTCCAAGGCCACGCTGCACGAGGCTTGGAGCAACGTGGTCTGGCGGAAGGTGTCCCTGCCCATGGCAGGGGGGTTGAAACTAGGATGATCTTGAAGGCCCCTTCCAACCCAAACCATTCTGTGATTCCATACAAATAATCTCAGTGACAGCTGAACAACCTCTCCCAGAAGAGATTAAAAAAGAAAAGCAAACTATAGACTCTCACATCAGTTGAGAGGGCAAACACAGTTAAGCTTGCCAGTTTAACAAACAGGGAAAACCCCAGAAGTGAATGGCAGCGTATGAAGGAATTTTCACAAATAAGAAATTCTAAGGGGATGACGCAGGTTTAGCCCATGGGCTGTTACATGAAGCTGTTCCCAAGTGTCTGAGGAAAATTTAATGTTTCCAGTATAAATGTGGCCTCACCTGTCGTTTGTAGGTCTCCAGCTGGGCTCGTGCTGCATTGGCTTTCTTCAGCTCATCCTCCAGGCTGACTGTGTTGTGCATGTACATCATGTTGGTCTCCTGCAGCGACTTGACCTGCCTGCGGAAGTCGTTCAGATCCTGCAGCTTCTTCCGATACACTTCCACAGTTGACTCCAGCTTACTTGCCTTGTCTGCAGTAGCCCTTAAAGTATCAACAGGAATTAGAACACAGAGTATGTTTCTTCAAAAACTTACCAAAGCCCAACTCTGCTGTCATGAGCATTCAAGCTATTCTCAAAGAGAGATGCAACACGCTTAGCAGGAGTTACATCCTACTGCTCTATTTTTAAATGCATAATCAATGTAAACTCGCTCATAAAAATTGAAATCAGCACAGGGTTTAAGTGGGAGTAAGAGTGACAGTTGGATGCAAGAAGTACGAGCAAAGGTTAGTGTGTCAAACACCCCTAGGGAATTCTGTGGGGTGCAGTATAAATGCACTACACCCGTGGTAGATAATCATCTCAAAGTGTGGAAAACCACACACGTGTTCTCACTGTGGGATTATACACAATGAGAACATAATTGCACTATGAGAATGATCATTAGCAGATATGACCAAGAATTATCAGCTTATCATTAACCAAAATCCACATATTAAGAAAATACTGGAATCATAAATTTCAAACTAATTTTAATATCTGTGTTTAATATCTGCATTCTCATATCATTAAAAACTGGTACACAAAAATTATGGAAAAAATCTATAGTTAAGATTTGTTTCAGATGTTTTTAAGAACCACTGTAAGTTAAGCCCTTGAAACCACTTTTCTTTCTATGTTTCATTGATACTATTTTATGCATAGCAGACCTGCTTTCACAGTGTGATTTCTTGGGTGGTCTGGTATTTTACACAGTTTATACAAGCTGGAATGTTACCTGAAATTCTCGTGAAGGTTATTTTGTATTTCATCATCATTTTGTTAATGATCTCAGTAACCAAAATCTGGCCTAGAACTCTGACACCAAAATTGTGTCAAAGTTCTAGCTGTATATATGCTTTTCTACATTAGAACTTCAACATCCCATATGAAAAACTTTCCATCCTGTAAGTTCTGTAGTCATTAATTCTGCTTCACAGAGAAATTCCATGTGTTAGTCTTGTCAAACAACAGAGGTTTGCCTGAAACTTCCACTTCATCTCTGCTTTGTCAAAGATCTCACGCAGGTAAGATCTGCAGAAGTAACACCTCAAAAAAATCTTGTTAAATAAAAAGCCTTGGATTTAGTCATTAAATCCTCCTAATATGTGTGTGTGTGAAGCTCCCCCTACTACATACCTAAGAATATCATTCTCATCTTTCAAGGCTCTGGATTCTTCTGCCAGGGAGGTCAGTTCATTGTTTCTATGTTGCAGTTCAATCAGTTGTTTTTCTAGATCTTCACAATGGACACGATAATCATCTTTTGCAGCTTCAAGCCTACCAGATCAAAACCCGGAACTCTGTCAGGAACATTTTGTTATTACACAGTTCTCATTTAGTGCTAGAATTACTAAAAATAAGACCAAGGAAAACCATTAAGTCACCAGAAAAATGGTACTGTAAACATGGAACATTTTACTGTCTACCTGTTAAATCATAATGGATTGTTTACCACAAATCTACCACACCAGTATCAAGGGATCACATGAAAAGTGATTTTCCCCCCACTGTGTACCACAGAAAGATTAATATGGGAAAGAAAAGAGTACAGTAAAGAGATATGATGGTCTTAGGGGGGGTTGGGGTTTGTTTTGTTTACACACAAATCGCTTCAACACTCATTTTCTGCCTTCCTTCCCCGTATTTGAAGTATCAGAGGGCTACGCCAATTACAAAGTAATATTTTTTACAAGTAACAGTGTCTTTTTAAATATAAGGACTGTCTTTACGCTTATACAGCACTAGAAAGCTTTTAATGCAAAAGATATTGAGATGAAAAATCCCAAAAGTGTAGAGAAATTCTCAGGATTTATTAGACAAGTGAGGGATTTTTGAAGGAAATAATTTAATACCTGAAGTTTTCTTCTTGCAATTGTTCCAGCTGCAACTGTGCACTAAAATACTTTTTCGCAACCACAGTATTTGGATCATCAAGAGAGTCGTCTAATTGCTCTAGTCTGTCATTCATAATCTCATTTTCTGACATCAAGCTGTTTTTTTCATCCTGGAGAGCAGCTACCTAGTATGGATAAAACAGCATCAACACTGTAAGACCTGTCCAAAGAACTACAGCAAGGCAGCAGGACGTCACCAAATTAGTTTATGAAAAAGATTGAGCGTTTAGAAATTTTAGAATGTAGCTTTACAGAGCACACTTGAGCATACAGATGCTTTAGTGTATGACAGTTATGAAGCACTGAAGGAAAAGTCCCTCTAAAAAAAAAAAAGAAAAAAAAAAAGACAATTTTTTGTAACTGAAACCATGGTAAAGGCACACAAAGTGATATGGAGAGAAACTGGTACTTCGATTAAAAACACCACGGACGCCGTACAAAAAACTCCAAAACTGGTGCAAAGGTTACTCTCCATCTTGCTCGTACTGGACAATAAGCAGCAGGATGGCATGGCCAGCACACCCAGGGACTGCCGTGCTCAGCAGTGAATGGCTGCGGGTTCGGAAGCGGTTTCAGGCGCCGTAAGCACACACGCAAAAGAAAACCTGGCCAGCTTCAGAGAGAGCATGCACTGGGCAACAGTCAGGTACTGGGTGCTCACAGCTAAGCAAATGAGGATACAACACTTCACTGGAAGTATATTAACAGCCATAAAACGGGGAAGGATTAAGAGGATAGAACCTTTAAAGTTTTTCTAGTGAAAGCTGTTGTGTTAATTTTAACATCCTGTCAAACACAAGAGCACGTAGCATGTGTTAGTCAACTGGCATTTAAACAGGGACAATATGCTTTTTGGGTTATGTTTTCCTGAATCAGAAAGTAAACCTACCTTTCTTATACTCTTGGAAAATATCAAGGAAGACTGAGACCTTACAAGTGAATTTATTAAGAATTAGTTTAAATGAGAAGCGTCAGTCAATATCATGGCTTCAATTAAATAAAATTAAAAAAACATATCATGATATTATGAAACAGAGACAGCCTAGAGTATGCAATATTAAGAAACAATTTGTGATCATAATTTTAAAGTCTATCAGTCAAACAGATATAAAAATCAAAAAGTAATTAATCTACCACTTCATTAGGTGCTGGCTTTCTGGGTTCACTGCTTTTTACAAACCAGATGTCATTTACTATTTACATGCACACATCTGTGAGTAGAGATTGTATCTGAGCCTTGCTCAGCAAAACACTTCATGTTCAAGGTTCAGCCACTCCTTAAGCATGTACAACATTCAGACTTTAGGAATAACGTTAAGACATCTCCCATCTCAGACTTAAAAAAACCTAAAAATCAAACTATGGCACAACTCAGAGCAAGTTTTACATATTTTCTCAGTTGCTTTCTGATAGTTTTCTCTTTTATTATTTCAGCATAACAGAAGTGGTGTCAAAGTCACAGATTATAAAGAGAAATTGTAAACACAGTATTACAGTGTGGTGTCATTAACTCCTGTGTTTATAGTCAGCAGTACCTTTTCCTCAAACACCTTTCACCTGTCCCATACTATGTTATGAGCAACTGGCTTTGCATAACCTATGATTAATTAATTAATAGATAAATCTGGAAAGACAAGTCTGTGGGAGACAGGTGAAAGACTGGGACTTCTCCTGCAGATTCTGTTCACTTTTATATCTCTGTTCCCACAAGGAAGCCTTACTGCTGCCTCAAGAAAAATTAAATATCAATTCCATCATAACACTAAAGCTTCCTGGGCACGGCAACCAGCTCTGAGCCACTTCATATACAAGTATTCAACTTTTTCAGTTGTCACTGCCTGTAAGAGCTGTAAAACTGGCCTCTTCTTTTGTGGGTGTTCATTTTCAGATGCTCACACAGCCGGTACAGCCCTCTGGCTCCCCTAAGAAGCTGCAACCCAAATGTTCTCTTTGTGCAGAGCCAAATTTGAGATGAAGTGCCTTGCCAGATAAAACTCTTTCTATTCTCAGATTATTGTGCCATAAAAGAGGAATCACACTTAAAGGTAACAAATGGATCCTTTTTTTCTTTAAAAAGTTGATTGAAATGCAAATTTCTCTTTATTTTTTATTCTCTCTACTTTTTCTCAAGAGTGACTTGATTAACTGATATATCCATTAAAACCAAAAATAGGCCTATTATTAGTGTGGTTTGGAAATGTCAGCAAGGATCCATTAGTTTCTATTATTTTATCCTGTAGTTCCTCCAAGTTACAATTGTGCATGAGAAAAAGTTAGCAAATTTTAGATAAATTTCAAAATTTAGTCATTCATCAACTCCTATTCAAGCAGCATCATTTTCCCGTGATTAAATCTAATGACCGATTATTACATGAAGTGGACTTTTTGGACACAGTACAAAAGACTAGAGGAAGCAGTGATTAAAAATGAAAAGGGCAATTTTTACAACCATGAGAACATTGTTTAACACTACCTGCTACTAAAGGTAAACAAAGCTAAGAGATAAAGAACCTCTGAGGTAACAGCTGGCACAGGACCTCAGCCTACACTTTCATTGGAAAATGTTCCTCAGTAATTGCATTTTGGAGTACAGTGATTGCTTTTCCCTCAAGAATTCTCACAGAAATTTAAATAATGCAAAATTCACTCTGCCTTTCAATTCTGCATCTTAATAGCAGTACCATTACATATTAAAGAAACAAGCAACTTGCTGTTTCTTACCTGCAAGTCAAGCTCTTGACATCTTTGTGCCAACTCTTCTTTTTCTGCCAGTGCTTCCTGAAGATCCTCCAAGGCTCTTTTAAGCTTTCAAAAAGTAAGACAGTCAATCACTGTGGCCCATATCCAAAGTACTCCCAGTTGTAGTTTACAAAACAACTTAACTGCTTATATGAACAGTTTAAGAAGGATGTCAAGTGCACACACTGACACAGAAACCTATATATACACTGTTACATCAGGATCCCTGCTCATTCCTCTTGTCTTCTCAATGACTGCCACATGTAACAAGTAAATTATTGAAACACAGCAAACACAGCAACTTGGGCTAAAGGCATAACAAAACAAAATACAGGAGCATTCATGTGGTCACAATTTCAAAATCCCTGCCTGTTAAAAAAATGCCTGCCCTTCATCTTAGAAAAGAAATATTGATGCTCCTTTATGAGCAGCTACTTGTAAAGACAAGTTTCATTTTATATGTAACTTGTAGTGTTAAGGTTATCAAGACTTTTCATGACCCCTCAAAAATAACCTGAAGGGTTCAGGCTGGCATGGCTGAGCCTTGATGTACCCTCACCCCTTCTGGCACTGACCAGTTTTACCCCACCCAGGAAGATGACACAGCAGGCAATGATTTTTTAGAAGAAGCTATAGAAAAGCAGATAACTTTTTATTTAATTAGCACTGAAAAACAACTTCACTTTAGGGATGGAAAGAAACCAACTTATTGTTCAGGCTTGACCTACAACAGTAACAAGTATTAGGCAGTTACCTGCTGTTCCATTTCATTTGATGCATCACAGGTGAAAGGACTCGTTACTTCCTTGCTCATGAGCTACAGGAAAAGGCCACAAGAAAAAAAGGTTAAGTTAGAGGTTAAATATCTGTAAATTCACTGCCTACTGAGTACCAATTGTATTTTCCACTATATCACTGCATTCCTTCAATGTCAAAGTAGACTAATAGTAATAAAACCAATCTCATGACTGGTAAAGGATTTTAACAAATCTAGAATAAGATGTCTTTTTTTACCTATCCCTCCCTTCCCCCCTCAAAAAAAAAAAAAAACAACAACAAGTTGGCAGTAATATCTTATTGGATGGATCTGTGATCTGCTGAAGTTATTTCTATTCCTCAATCAAGTTAAAATGGAGTGAACCAGAGAAGAGGATTTCAGTCAATTAAATTAACTGTTATCACACTTCTTTGTGCCCCATTAATTGCCACTAAGCAAACAATAGGAACATTAACACTGCTCTCACTGATCTCCAGTACAAAGAGGTACACAGTTTATCTGTCAACAATTACTCAGGAATTACTGTATTATTTCTAGACCTTCTTCAGAAAGTTTAGTTAATCAGAAGACAACAAACAAGAGGTTTATGGATTTCTTTCTACCAATAGGACCCCTGCAGCTTTAAAGACTATCCAGTCAATTTAAATCTGAGGTTTAAAGCCTATTACCAACTCCACTCATATCCTGATGAGGTTGCAGTTACACACACCACCTCTTCTTCGAAGTCAGTATTTAGTTTTTGCCTCTCTCCATACTCTGCTTCAGTCCTTAAGCTTACGAATGTGAGTGACTGCAGAGCTAAGCCATGAGTTGGATCTCCAAGATGATCCAATTAAGAACAAATTACAGCAAGAGGAGGAGCACACCATGACAAGAATGGAAGAGATGCAGCTGCAAGCTTGTAAGTCAGAGGCTGGAATGGTCCTTCCATAACAATGCAGCCTCACAGACACAATCAACTTAATTCTGGGACCAAGACTATAACACTGGGACATTTCAGAACCTGACTCCAGTACAATCAGTGGTTGGGAACTATATACATTGCCTGTGTGGAATAAAAAATCTTAAGTATTTGTTGTATGTTTGGGTACAGGAGACTAAAATCAAAACCCCCTGGTTGGAATCTGGGGCCTCTTGGTCCTGAACATCCCAAATGATTTAGGAAAGTACTTACACTCTTCCCTGTAAATCCTTTCATTCAAGCAAAGGTCAAAGATAACAAATAGACATTTGGACTTCTCAACTGACATCATTAGGCTGTGAACTGTTACCTACCTCTTGAATGGCTGTCATGACAACATGCTGAACAGACTCTTCAAGGGTCATGATATTTTGTATGTGTTCTGTGAAAAACAATTTGCAGTGACTCATGACCACGTTCATCTTAACAGCTTGAGTAACATGATAAACTGGGTGCAGAAAGATCCAGAAGAAACTATTATCCATAAAGCCCCTTCAGAACAGGTAGTGGTCTTTTCATAGAGGACTAGTGTTAGCCAACAGCATTATTATCCAGTAACATGGCATAAACACATGAGATTATAAACTCTTAACTGGAAAAATGAATACTCTGCATAACAGAGTAAGGAGCAGTGCCATCAGAGCACGGAGCACTGGCTCGGGTATGGGGAGAGAAAATAACCAATTCAATTTTGAGCCAAGAGGCAGTTCCTAATGTAAGTTTTGATTTAATTTGTTAGATTTGCATTTGAATAGTAAATGTTAGGTCTTGGTACATATTTTAATAAGTACAAGTAATCCTCAAACGCTTCAGATTATTTTTTTTAAACCTAGTTGAACAAAGTTTTGAGTTTTATCCAAAGAAGTTTTCCGCAGATTTCCTTTTAAGTGAACTCCAGTTTCAGAATAGGCACGTAATGTATTAAGAATAGAGACTTTCTGACACATAAGAAAAAAGTTTCTACATCTCTTCCACCTTAGCAATTACTTGTCAAAGTCTGCTGATTGTCGAACAGGTTAAGGTAGTGCCTACCTTGTTTTCTCTCACAGTTGACTGCACAACCTAAAATAAGCTGCAGAAGCCTGCCCAGTTCAGTGGGATCTGAGTTCTCAGATATCTGATTTAGGTCTGGAATAAGCTCTTCTGAAATCTGCTGACCCAAGAACTGGAAAAAAAAAAAAAATTAAGAGAGAAAGCAGACTCCCACTTTTGTACAACATAAAGATCTGGTATCACGTAAGAAATCTGGACTCAGGGAGCCATGCAAAGAAAATGATCCAGGAGGATTTGTGCCTTGGCTCTCAGCTTCCAAGTGAATATCATAAAACCTAGACTGGGGTTGCTGAGTCTGTTCTGTTGTGTACAAAAGGATTAAAGCTTCTGTAGACTAGAGCAAACATGAATGCACAGACTAAAGTCAACAGGATTCTACAGCTCAGCCCTTATGACATTTACCTGGGCACAGACATGGTTTCCAGATTACACTCCAGGAGTTTCATTTAAAATACATCTGCTCAAATTAATTTTATATTCACTCAGACCTCCCACTTAGCAGATAATCAACATACACTTTCTGCCAAAAAAGTCCTCAAGATAAATTCATTTTCCAAGAAAAAAAAAGCTTGGTGAAGCAATAATCCATACCTCATGGTAGTAGTCCATAATTCCTTGCAGTATCTTCTTCAGGTTACTGGACTAATTGTTGTGCATGAAAGACAAGGTTACAAATTTAAATTAAAATTTTTCATTTTGATGAAATATCCCAACAGAAAATCCCCACACAACAATGCTGGGAGGCACTTAAAACTATCAACAGACAGTTCAGGTTCATTTAAAATAGGCTTGGAAAGCCTGAGCTTAATTCTCTAGGTTTTGGACTGCTAGATCTCAGGACAGCCACAACATCCAACCCCATAAATTTCACTGTCTTCAGTTTCAAATACCTTTATTCTCCAGTTGTCACCAACATCATCTTTAATGCGATTTAGCCAAGAGGCATCAAACCAAGCAACATCTCTGAAACAAAATTAAATGATTATTTGATAAGCACAGACTTAAATAAGACAGCAAATCCCCAGCATGAAATCATCAGGTGTTGAACTACAGTGTCTAATGAGGCATGAATTCCTGGAGATTGCAAGGTAAACTTATGTTATAGGAAATTCCCAAACTGCTGGCTGCATTAAGACACCTTCCAGGTCTGGGAGAATTTCCATGTGTGCTTGAGCTAGGAACAGCTGGAACATTAGGATGTGTAGATCTTTGCCATGCTGAATTTTTATACCCGATAAAGTGATCGGAATGATGATCCCCTTTTGACTAGTGCTGATATTAAGTGTGGTAACTATTCCTGCAGATTGGACTTTCTAACATTCACTACAAATTGCCAAAGACACTTACTAAGAAAACAGTTTGAACTACTGGCATTTTGTATTTTTTGTGTCTTTGGTTTCCCAGGGCAGAAGTCTTTTCACTTTGCCAGCATAAATAAAGATGAGTTGCTGCAGGAGGTGTTTATACACACCGAGCTGCCAACCAGTACAATCACAGCATATTTAACAATATATTAACTTTCACAACATACAGTTTATTCACTGGTCTCAAAGCACCTAATGAAGGACAATTATTATCCCAACTTGCACGTGAACCAGCTTGGCTGTACAGAGGTCTGACCAGAGCCTGTGGCAACCCAGTACCCCAAACACATGGGAAGCAATCCTCAGCAAATCCTAAATCAATTTTTGCCATGTTCCAGGAAAAATAATATTTCTGTCTTTATACACCACCTTTTAAATCTTAACAAGCAGACAGGAGGGCTTCCAAGCTCAGGAGGGGATTTTTGGGCGGTGGGAGTTTGTCCTGGTGGTTGAGTAACTTCTTAATAACCAAAATTACAATTTGAGCAGGAGATGGTAATGCAGACTTCTCTTTAACTATCTAATCCAACAACAAGTGTTGATGGGAAAAGTGAAAAAGATCATGTCATTCTTGCCTATTTATTCTTAAGTATGAATTTATTACTGCAGTATAAATATATATTTTTATATAAAAACATACACATATATATATATTCTCATCACCTTCTCCATTATGTTACTATTGAACCGTTACATCATCACCAAAACAGCAATACAAAGGCATATTCTGTCTTCTGCTATAAACTGCCCACTCCGAGTTTCTGCCTACTTTAAAAGCAACTACCTGTGTCAGACACAAAAACCTCAAGGAATTAAATACCTCTTCTTCAAACTGGAGAATCAACTTACATTTGGTGAAGCACCTGTGCCATGGCAACCCCATTAGTCAGGTCCTGAACATCTCTGCAAGGCGCAGCAGTATTGAAGGTCTGCAGCTAAAGCAGGGAAAAACACCGTGTTTCTCATTCAGCAGACAAAAGGACAGGAGATTAGTTATCACTTTCCTTTTCATCTTTAACTTAAAGATGCCTTTTCACTTGAGGCAGCTGAAATCCTTTTTGGACTACGCAGTTTTTAAGCCAACCCAATTATCTCGGCACTTATGACTGTTATAACTAGTAGCTTAAAAAGTTAGTACAACCACCCACGCTTTGCTTTTTCATGCCTTTTTCAGACCTTCTATTGTAGATCAAATTATGGAATGATAACTTGGGAAGCTACAGTTGTATTTATCCATCCCTCCAATTATGTTACAGTGCTTAGTTCTGGCCATAACTACCTAAACCAAAAATGGCATTAGAATAAGGTATGAAATTTGTGGGCAAAAAAAAAAAAACCTCCAGTCTTTTACTACAAGAACTTAGTAATAGAAGTAGGATGGGATTACCTCAATGTTAAAAATGTTTCTCCATTTTAGATATTTTGGGGGTTTTTTAAGCTATCCCTAAGACTATAACTAACATTTTGACAGAATTAGCTGTATATTTAGAGCTGCAATATTTTATTCCTCCACAGTCCATCACCTCAGAACTAACTATTCTAGGTGAGGGAGCCACTTCCATACACATGTCAGTTCACCACAGGAAAAAAAGAACCTTCTTTACTACTACGAATGAAATAGAAAGTTTGCAGTTAGTACTGCTAAAAGATGTGTATGTGAAATGGAACTGGAGCAAGTACAGGTCCTTATAATCTCTGTCCACTGCAGAAATTGTAAATGTAATAGGTTTAAGAAGTCAGTGTCCTGAATTATCTTTCATCTGCGAGAGGGCTTTCCCAAACGTTCTGTGAAACACAAGCTTCTTCAGAACACACTGGTGAATGACCTTGTGTTTGGGAATTGGAGCTACTCAGACCAGAGTGATGGAAAAGCAGTTTCACAGCTGTGAGAATTTGAGGCAGTTTTTGTCCAGTCTGTGTTTACAAAGAGTGACCACAACTCTGAATATTTGCTTGCTTCAAAAACAGCCAAATCAAGCCAAGAGAAAAATACGCAGAGCAAGGGTTTGTTTTTATTATTTTTTTTCTCCATTTGTTTTTCAATTGAAAAAGCAGATAAAAATCTTGCATTACGGGAAGTGAGAAGTCAGTAATCCCTTGCAGGTTACATAAAAGATTAAGTGGAACACCACAACCCAAAGCTGCTGTGACTGACAGCCCTGGTTTCTCTTACTCCAGCAGCCTCCACACCAACACAGGCACGGGCACCACTACGAGCCAAGGCTGAGCTTCCCAGAACCCCCAGAATTCCCAGCACAGGATTGTGATGCTGCCCCGTGGATACACCCCGCTGTAAACCAAGGAAATTGCTAAGCACAGGTACCAGCATTTCTCCTGAGCCTGTTAAGCAAAGCCTCAGAAAAGCCCACGACAGGCGACGCTGCTTTATGCAGAATCTCCCAGAATAGAAGCAGCTAATTAAAATTAATTATAAAGCAGGACTGACAGTCTGTTTCTTTATATATTTAAAAGTCACATAAGGGCCTAGAAATAATATGAGAGCAGAAGTATTAATTACGGGTTCTCCAAACCTCATGCCAGCCCAATCATTTCCTCAAAATGGATTTTTAATGTTCTCGCAAACCCCATGAAAGCAGCAGGCATGGGGAGGAGGTTGGCAGAAGCAGCCACAGACTTCAGGGCTGTAGCAGTGCTCTATTTTTTTTAGTTTTACTAAATATAGCTTCAAGGACGTGCTACTCACACTGAAAACCATTTTGTGAGTTCCAGCCCAAATGCACCCTGCCACTACAGGAGAAGCAAGTGTTCTTCTCTCAGACACACAGGCACTAGGCTCAAATTAGACAGCTGAAAAGTGAATTTTGTAGCTCCACCACCAAACACCTGCAGATGAAACAAGTGTTCACAGTGCCCAGCGGGAATCATCCTCTCCACCTGGGGAAGGTGTGCCCTCAATGTCACCTGAACAATGTAGGGCTGAGTTTCTCCATTTCATATCCAGATTTTACACACTGGGGATTACAAAGCAATCAGTTTTTCAAGTAGCAACAAACATTCCCATTCTTAACCCCACAATATTGACAGAATAAACTCGGACACTGGACAGAGTTTACATCACCAACGATGCCAGTGCCATCACTGCACCTACTGCTATTACTCTTTTCCCTCCACTTCTACACACAATGAAAAAATACTAATGTTTACTGACTTAGAAAATTGTTTCTGCAACAAACTTGTAAGTTCCATCTCAGCAGGTATTACCCAAGTCAATTTTTCATGGATACTCATAAACATTTCCCCCAAAATTCAATTTATCTGCATTTTGTTTTTCCTGCATCATCCTCAGAATTTCAAATTCAATGACACCTGGGTTGCAAAAACAACAGATAGTGTCTTTATTTAAATTCTCTCATTTTTCTCTGGACAATGCACATTTTCTAATATAGAATTTGGTAAAATGAAAATAGAAAAATACACTCTCTGGCAGTCGAACACAGAAAATCATAAGCATCTGTTTGCTTTATTAATGAGTAAAGAAACTGAAAAACCCTTAGAATCACAGAGCTCGCTCTCTCTCCAGCACTTCATTCTCACTCCCTATACCACATTTCTCCCTATTACTCACACTGAAGTTCAACTTGTGAAAGGATGTTTGAAACACATCTTAGTGTTAACAATCAGTTTCTATAAAGTTGTTAACTAGGTCCGAGAAAGGGGGTGCTAAATCTAAAAACATCACCACAATGCATCTGCTGAGGGTTGTATAAAAAACCTGAACAAGGGGCTGGATGTTCCTTTACACTGACACAAAGCTCAGCTTAAGGCCAGATAAAGTGCCATTTACATTCCCTTAAAGATTCAAGATGTAATTACAGCTATGCACTGTGAGGAGACTAGAAACGAGAATTAGGCTTAAAATATTTTAAGCCGGAATTATAAAAATTATAAAGGAGTTCAGCACTGCTGAATTAAGGGTTTTAAGAAAGAATTCAGGAATGTAGTGATTTATTTTGCAACTGAGTCATGATGGAATTATTCTTACATGATTACTGAGAGGAAAAGGCAAAGTTAAAGAGCACAGAACAGAGAAAGAGTAACCCAGGTCCACAGAGGTAAGCATAAGACAACCAAAATTCTACAGACCAACAAAAGCTTGGAATGTCACTAGTAGGAAAACGGAAGGAGAAAAAGAAAGAAGGAAATTGTTTTTCAGTGATTTATTACCAACTTTAACTCCTCAAAACTTCTGTGCTGCCATGCAGAAATTAAGAACACCACCTACTCTGGTAGCTGCTGCTACCACTTCTGCCAATTTCATTCTTGGATTTCCTAAAAGTTTCCAAAACACTCCCTTCTTTCCATGATTTACAGCTCACAGAGGCAAAGCACCTGCTATTTCTAGAGAAACCCTTCGCACGGGTAATTGTGGCCTCCCCTGCCAGGGTGTCACACAGCATTTCTATCGCGCAGAGCTCACTCTCACCAAAAACACTGCACCTGCAAGACCACATTTACAGACAAGGTCACGGAAGGAGCTTGGAAATAAAGATAAAGAGGAAGCAATGACTGATGATTTTAACAAACACGGTTGTCCTCGGTGACCTTAAAAGCCTTTTTCAACGTGAATGATTCCACAACTCTAAACCGGTGCTTCTGGCCCAGGTAACACCCCACACCCAGGTGTGGTGCGCCTGACTAATACACGCTTTAACCAGCTGCTGTGAAACGCCCTGAGGCTTCTGCGCCCGCCAATTCAAATTAATTGCATTTATTTTTATTATTATAAATCACTGAGCAGTTTCCACACTGAAGCCACCGCTGGAGAACCACTACTGGGCCCAGGGGATATTTCAGCCACCACATCCACATCCCGCGGGTGCTGCGGGAACCTTCTGCGGGCTCTGAGCTCAATGTCCCGGGCAGCCCCACGGCCTGCCCGACCCTCGGCCGGGGACGGAGGGATGGACGAGACGGCTGGAACTCGCCCCCACCGGCTGCGCCTCCTCGCTGCCCCCGCGGGCTCCCCAGAGGCGGCAGCTCCCCCGCGCCACTCACCCAGAGGATGAGGCTGTCGCACAGCAGCGGGTCCGCCGGTTTGGGCTCCATCGCGGCACAGCCACGTCCCCCTCGCTCTGGGGCCGCCCCCGCTCGGCGGCTCCGGCCCCCGCTCCGCTCCGCCCGCGCGCCCGCGCGGGAGGCGGGGCTGGCGCCAGCGTCGACCAATCAGCGCCCGCGCCTGCCGGGAGTGACAGCAAACCTCACCAATCATGGAGGAGGAGGGGTGTGTTCGAGCCAATCACAGTGAGACCCGTTAGGGCGGGGATCCCCTCACGGCCGCACCGCTTCCCTCAGAGGGACAGGGGCCGAGGGAGGGTCGCGTCGCCCGCCCCGGGGTGATGCGTGGGCGAAGCGGGATTGTGTCACTCCCTCCACGGAGTGAACTAATGGGCCGCGACTCAGCGAGTGCAGCCCCCGCGCTACCCCCGCCGGCTCGGGAGGCGCCGCTCCGTCACAACATGGCGGGTGCTGCTGCCTCACAGCCCGCCGGCGGTGCCGCGGGTTGGGCGCCCCGGGGAGATCGCGGGTGGAGAGCTGCTGGTGTGGTGCAGAATTACCTGTGCTTAAGGTGCAGGTAGGTCAGTGTACATGTACCCGCCACACGCGTTCATTTCAGAGCTTTTTTCTTAAAAACAGCTAAATTTTTAAAAAATTTTTAAACGAGGCAAAAATACCAGTCCATCTCCTGGGGAGGAAGCGCTGAAGCACAGGGGTGAGGAGCTACTGCTTTTACCTTTCTGGACGTGGGACCTCTTGCCCCCACCGAACGGGACGGATTGAGAAGGGCTACAGCAGTTTAACCTTTCTTAATTTATATTGTCATCTATGCCTGCCTGCTCAGCACGTCACACACCACCACACAGGCACCACGCTCTTCTTTGCATCTTAAGTAGTTCAAGACATGAGAGCTAAAACGTAGAAGTACTTTGATGTTTGATCTTTGTTTCAATGAAAAAAAAAAAAGGAACCACCAACATTTGTTCATTCTCTTTACTATATTTGTTTCAGAGGAAAAGCTTACCTTTTTTGACCAGATCTTGTGGATGACTGATTCAGGATTCTGTCTTCTATAGCACCCTGCCCCAGACACCAGAGAAAAATCTCAGTACCTTACACTAAAACAATGGGATTATTCTGACCCTTTCCTGTTTCAGCAAAAGAACTTATTTCTATCTCCTCTATTACTCCTTTATTTGAACCATTATTTTTTGTTGGCTGATTCTGTTTTATAAAGGTTCTTACATTGCCTGTTAGTACTGGAATGTGCAGAATGGCATTAAACACATCACTGTTTAGGGCAGCCTAAGAGTACACTAAACATCTTGAGTAATAACTGTTACAAGCATCATATCTTCCTTTTTAGCCACTCTTCAAGATACATAATTTTCTGTTACTGATTCTACTTTACGTTGCAGGGATGGAAATTGGTGGTGATGACATGGACAGTATTTACATGACTATTTCCCTCAAAGTGCTGTCCAGAATTGATAAAGGCTCAAGAGTGGACTTTGATTTCTGGAAACACTATAACTGTTTCCTTCACCAAAGGTTCTTAAAGAGACTTGGTTGCCATGGAAGATTAAAGTAAATCCTTATTCAAAATAGAATAAGGAATAAAAGGTTTTTACAGTAAAATTCCACAGCGTTCTGTGCTGGGATTTGTACTGTTGAGCATGCTCATTTTAGTTTTTTAGTATTTTTGCTCTTTTATAATTTCTACTACCTTTTGCTTATTTTAGACCTCTTTATTGTTTTACAGGTTCTATAATTTGATGTCCTTTCCCTCTCAGGCAGTGTCACATCCTAATGTCAGTCGCTTCCTGCCATCGTAAAGCCCAGGAAGCCAGTGAGGGTGAGGCCCAGCGACGTAACCAGGGTCAGGTATAGTCCCATGACCACCAGGCAGGTGCACAGTGACGAGGCAGCTCTGAGGCCAAGCTAAGAATTCAGTCCACAGGGCACAGTCCATGTCCATGGGGTCCCTGGACAGCTGCCAAGCTGGGAATTCATTCCTCAGGGCACAGTCCACATCCATGGGGTCCCTGGACAGGCACAGGCATGAGGGGATGGGTGGAGGCACCACGTGAGGCCATTCAGGCCTCTTTCAAAAGTATCCAGAAATTATTATTCCTAAGGGATGTCGGTGCAAGAAAGGTGTAAGAGAATGTGGCTGGTGCAGGAAGCGTGGCTGAGAGCTGTGTAAAAACAAGGCAGGCTGTGCAGGTCTGGTAATCTGGGATTATGTGAGGAGAGATCGGCTCACCCGTGTGCTCCTGGCTGCTGCATCCAGGTCAGACGGCTGGCTCGGCTGAGGGAGCACTCACCCAGACAAACCAGTGTCAGCACACAGCAAGGGTTTGTCTGAACCTACAGAGAAATAAAATACAGCTCCAGACAGATCAGTGCAGCTATCCCACATCTTTCAGGGCACATCAGGAACACCACAGCACTGTCCAGCCCTGCCGGGAGCTCAGCCATGGGGCAGAAGTGTAACAAAGGGATCTCTGTGCCTGATGCAGAATAAGGTGGTTTGAGTTTATTTTTTAAGCCTGGTTGGAGATTTCTTCGTGAGCTGCAGCTTTTGTGAATATCTGTCAGCACATTCTGGGTTAGTGCCAATCAAGGATTATGACCTATATTAACATCCTAGAAACAGGGCAGGCCAGCCAGGACTCCACGTCACACCAGGACTGCAGCTCGGTCTCCTGCTGTCTGATATCCACTGTTACTACATTTTAAAGTCAGGTTAAATTACTTCTCACAAGAGGGACTTATTTAAAATGTGCCCACTCCTTTTGATAGTGCATCTCTTGCCTTCTTAAGAAGGCATCTGACAGTCTCTCAGTGAGGGCTGTCTAACTTTCTTCACAGAACAGAAGAATGGCATTTGTACAGTTATTTACCTGCTATTCATAAAAATCAAATAGATTCCTAAGGGCTTGGTTTTATGTTCCATGGGACTTACGTCATTGTATCCAGTAATATGACCAGTATTCAGTTCAGACATTACTTGTGGCTTCCTCAAGAAAGCCCCACATCCAGACACTGGAATTTTCCCACACCTTGTGTGGCACACAGGCATCTCACTGGTAGTTTAAAAACAGTGTTGTTGGAAAATCCTAATATACAGGACTGGATCTAAAAGGGATTTTCTAAGCACTTGGAAAGAAAGACATTAGGATGTGAAAACGCCAAACAGTGACCCTTGGTGGTTAGTTGAGTTCCTTGCACATTTCTTGCTATTATAAAACATAAGATGAAAAATGTTCCTCAGCTTTTCAGTCATGTTTAGCAGCTTCATGGATTTGATTTATGGAAGTCTGCACCTCTCAAGCATCTTTCAAAAGCTTTAGGAACATCCCATAAGCCCTCTGGTGTTCTGTGGTGTTGAGGCATGTTTGAATTTTTCATATATACAAACTAGAAAGCAATTCCCAAAATGTATGCAGTGAATTATTACACAATACAAACTGATTTGATACCTGCTGTATTCCCTGAGCAACACCACCCTTCATGTTCTGTCACAATCTCTTACACCTTCCTGGCATATATACTCCCACTTCTTTTTGGGTGAAGCTCTATGTGTATTGGAAGTTATTCTATTTCCATGAAAAAGGCATTGGCTATCTGTTTATTCTCCAAATTTGGCCAATTTAAAATTTATTATAATCAAATGGAGTTTATTCAACATAACCGAACACCTAAAAATCCTAAAATATTAATTAAAAAGCCACTGTTGTGAACTGGAGTTGTGTGACTGGCTGGAGGATCTCACTGCCTTGCTTGTCTCGTGCAGGTTTGTGTTTCCCAACTGCTTTTCCCTGCAGATGCTCCACGGTGCTTTCCAGGTCAGTTATACCCGAAGGCTATGGGAGCAATGCCATGATGATGAATGTGAAATTTTTCACTCTGTAACTGAAGTATCTGTTTTGTAAAACACTCTGAATTAATTTGGCTGTTCTAGGAGATGAAAGTCGTTAGAATCTGTTATTATCAAAACAGTAGGAATTCTGGATATTTCATATATTAATTCTGAAAATTAATACCTTTTACAAGAGTATATTCATCGAAGGAGCCTCATATTCAGGCTTTGCTGAAAGGTGGCAATATTTCCACAGGGAATAAGCATCTTTCAAGTATTTTCACATGAGATGGAAATACTTTCATCACTTGAGGCCCTTCTTGGAAGTCATTCAACTATGAGAACATTTGCTTTAAATAAAAGAATGTTTAACCCAGTGGGATTCTTGGAATTCCTGAGCCGTTTATGCTCTTCTTTACACTTTTCTTAGCACATCTTAACTCACTGAACACTTCCCTCTCCCCACAAAATTAATACTGGTAAGAAATAGTCATCTCATTAAAACTATGAAGGCTTGGGCTGGCATTTCTAGTCTGTTTTATGGTTAATTTAGTTTTGACTGGAGTAATTTCTGGGGTCCTTGGTTACAAACTTTCAGGTACAGTTATCCTAGCCCATGTGATACAGCAAGTGTGTGCATGCAGAATACAAATGCATTTTTACACATGCATACCTTTTACACAGAGTAATAATATTTAGTTTATATTAGCAGTTTCAGAAAAAAATAGCAACTGCTTTTACAAATATTATTTAAGGTTTCTCATATGTCAGTGAAATAATTTGATAAAGTGAAAGAGAAAAGATAGAAATAGAGCCACAGAGCCAATAGTTGTGATAGCTCATTAAATTCCATAAAAAGCTATACTGGGGACAAAGCAGGTCAGAGGTGGAAAACTACCTACCTACACTCATAAATGAGACTAGATCTTGGAACTGTACCTTTTGGCCTTATACAGCAGGAGAGTAAATGGTTAACATCTCTAAGGAATGAAACACTTCGATTATCTCAGGGCAACACCTCAGAATCAGAAACTTTTAAGAGCAGTGACTTGAGCAGAATAAAATACAGCTGTACAACATCATTTCTCCTCAGCCGGACCCCACTTTGTCACTGTCCCCTCCCCTCTCGGCCTGCTCTCGCTGCCTCAGTCATTCCCTAACATTCGTCAATCTCCTATCTATGTTTTTTTTATTTCTGCCTTTTCATTTACTTTCTCCCTTATATCTGCCCTTCTATTTTAGTGCTGTAATCTTTTTTACTGAACAAGGTCACAAGTGAGAGGGGGCTTTGGCGGTTCCAGCATTCCGGCTGACGTTCATTGACATCATGGAACCATTTGCTCTGTCACAGTAACAGCTCCTGGCTTTGCAAATTCACAGGTATTAAATGTCTCAGATACAATTTCACTTGGTGCCCGTGACAAAAAATGCAGGTCTGGGATATAAACTGTGACAGAGGCATGTTGGTCACAAACAAATCCACATTCCCACTTTGAGATCCTGTTTCCACAGGTGCATCAAAGACGTGGGGCCATGTGGTGACTTGTAAGGCACCAGCTTGGCAGGTGGGTTTGTGTCCAAACAAGGCCATTCTGGAGATTTTGAACCTGGGAATATCCTCACACTTATTTAATACTGTCCAAGTACTTTCACTTCTCACCACAGTCTGGGATTACTCCATGAGTAAGCTCAGAATCCTGGGTTTTGCAGGATCGGGGAAATCACAAACTGAATTTCCAAAAAGAAAATCCCTGTAGATTGATTCTGTACCAGGGTACTGGTATGTACTACTAGAGAAATTACCTCTAATCTCTTTAAACAAAATAATTTTCAAAACTCTGTGTTCCATTGTACCAGTTATATAGCATTATCTTTATTATTCATAAACTTTATCATCAGCATAGAAGATTCACTGAATAAAATGTTAATAACTTGATTCATTATTTTAACAGCTAACTTACTGAAGGGTATTTCTTTCTCAACATCTGCAAGTTGGTGTAAAAAAAATTACTAAAAGACATGTTTTTAAATGGAATATTTAAATAGTATTCTCTAGCTGAAGAAGAGTCTGTGTTCAAAAATAGAAACACTGGATGAAAATGTCACAGCTCTTGCTATTGAATAACAGTAATGTCTCAAACCCAACCACAGCTAAACAGAGCGGGAGAGCTACAGGTATGGGAAGTGAAAGATGAATTGTTCTGATACTACAGTATTTATGTATTAAATAAACAAGTTACTGTGCATCTGTCAAAACTGAGTTCAGATTTCCCATCATTTTTTATATCAATCTAATTTGTCTTGGTTTTCTTGGAAAATAAGCTTCAGTTAGCCTAAAAATTCTGAACACATTCTTTCATATTTGAAGGTTCTCGATACAGTACATCTCAAAGAGGGAAAGCCAATTCCTACAGCAGGGGGTCGAGTCTCTTTAATAGACTCAGCAGTGCTGGGGGTTGCAATTGTGTTTACTGGCATTTCTAACAAAATTACATTCTGCACTTGGGTCCGTTTTGAAGATAAAGGTTACTCTTGTCTGATCTTACCAGCCAGTCCCTTCTGGTTGCATTTATAGATTCCTCCCTTGCTTTCCTGCTGCCCTCCACTGGCAGCTGCTCTGACGTGCTTTGCTTGTGCACAGGAACGGTTCTCAGCAGTTCTGAGCTGAGCTCCTCATCTGAGCAGAACTCTGTGCAGCCTGCCTACATATCCAGCAGCTCCCAGTCTTTCATTCCAGTATGGAATTAAGGTCACAGATGGGACTCCCTGAGGGTGCATCATGCAAAACCGTCTCGGTCGAAAACCCCTCAAATGGCCAAAGGCCATTACACAGGCCTTGCTCCAAAACACTGCCAAGGAATGCTGTTTCACACCTTTGTACTTCTCAGCCCCATCTTTATACTTCACAGGCCCGGTGTTTGGTTAGGTAGCCCTTTGTGGAGTAGATCAGAAACTTGATTTTTAAAATTGGGAATTAATAATGCAGTAATGCCAGTGGTTGGCATGTACAGACCTGTTGGCTTTGGTGGGATCACTGGACTGTGAAAAATAACTCAGGCATGGGAGTTTTTGCCAACTTAAACTCCAGAGCCAAACAACAGGCTCATTATCAGCAAACACTGTGCCTGGCACTGCAGTTGTGCTTCAAGGACTCTGCAAAGATCTAGCACCAAAAAATCCCAAACTATAATTGGCAAAATGGATCCAGGATTGCAACTTCCAGGCATGTGGTGGGACCAATAAAGTCAGCAAGGAAACAGGAATGGCTAGCCAGGGGCAGTTAGGGATTGACTGATTTAATGTAGAGATTCAGAGAAATCTGGATTTTCTTGTGTCCATTATCTTTCTCAAAATATTTTGGAGCTGTGTGAAGGGAACCTTCTGTTATTTAGCAGCCTTTCTCTGGTCAAATTCATTGAGTTGAGCCAAATCTCACCTCAGTTTCCCCATTAAAGCCTGGGCACTGATGGAAGTGCAAGAAGATTCCCTGCTTTCCTGCATCCAG